TTTTTAAAGATTTTATTTATTTATTTGACAGATCACAAGTAGGCAAAGAGGCAGGCAGAGAGAGAGGAGGAAGCAGGCTCCCCGCTGAGCAGAGAGCCGGATGCGGGACTCGATCCCAGGACCTGAGATCATGACCTGAGCCGAAGGCAGAGGCTTTAACCCACTGAGCCACCCAGGTGCCCCCATTCTAAGAATTTGAAACAGGAATCCATAGATGATTGAACTAAAATCAGTGATAGGCTTAACTGTGAAGGGTCAGAACTCAGAATAATAGCAGTAGTCTGGTTGTGGGGAGGGGGCGGTGTATGGTAGAGAAGGCATGGACTCCTGGAGGCCTAGAGTCTTCCTCTTGTGGGGTGGGGTAGGTTGTGTTGCATTTTAGTGGATATTTGCATTTTCAACAAGGCTTTAATAAATCTGTGGTTGTGTGGTGTTTTTCATACTGATACCATGTTTGTTTTCACCATCTCTTATGAACTAAAAGTGTCTGGTATTAGACTGTAAAGTTTTGTTTCTTCAGTGAGTTCGTCATAAAATGATAGAAGCTCACATGCTGTCATACACTACACGTAGTGTCATGTATACAGAAGGTCTTTTCTCAGGCAAATCAAAGTTCTCTTTTATGTGTGTTTTTATTAAAAGTGATAGTTTGGTCACTACCACAAAAGATCAGTTTTTCTAAAATTTTACTCATCAGATTTGTTGCTTAACGTAGACTTTTTATTGTCTTCCATAAGCACAATTACCAGTATCTTCCTCCAGCTATTCTAAAGGTGCATATCCTAACTGGGGCTAAGTAACTCTTTATTTACTTATTTGTGTTTGTTTAAGATTTATTTATTTACTTAGAGAGCACATGCACATTGAGGGAGGAGCAGGAAAGGGATAAGCAGACTTCATCCTAAGTGAGGAGCCTGATGTGGGGCTTGATCCCACGATCCTGATATCATGACCTGAGCTGAAATGGAGAGTCAAATGCATTACTGGCTGAGCCACCCAGGTGCCCTCTTTATTTTTAATTTATGTATTGTTATTTATTAATGAGTGGAATATGTTACTTTATTTTTTCTTTGTAATTATCTATTTTTAAAGATTTTCTTCATTTGACAGCACAAGCAGGGGGAGCAGCAGAGGGAAAGGGAGAAGCAGACTCCCCGCTGAGCAGGGAGCCCAATGTGGGGCTCGGTCCCAGGACTCTGGGATGATGACCTGAACTGAAAGCAGGTGCTTAACAGACTGAGCCACCAAAACATCTCTATTTTATATATTTTTAGAGATAATTCTTTTTTTTTTTTATATTTTATTTATTTATTTGACAGAGATCACAAGTAGGCAGAGAGGCAGGCAGAGAGAGAGAGAGGAGGAAGCAGGCTCCCCGCTGAGCAGAGAGCCCAATGCGGGGCTCGATCCCAGGACCCTGGGATCGTGACCTGAGCCGAAGGCACCCCTAGAGATAATTCTTTAGAGCAGAGGAAAACAAAATAGTTGAACTTTGAACACATTGGTTTGAACTGCACAGGTCCACATATATGTGGGTTTTTTACACTCCAGTACTGTGTATGTATTTTTCTCTTATGATTCTCTGAATAACATTTTCTTTTCTCTAGGTTATTTTATTGTAAGAATACAATATGTAATACATGTCACATGCACAATATGTGTTAATCAACTATTCGTATGTTATTGGTAAGGCTTTTGGTCAACAGTGGGCTATTAGTCGTTAAGTTTTGGGGGAGTCAAAAGTTATACGTGGATTTTTGACTGCATGGGGGTGATGCCCTGAACCCTTGCATTCCTTAGGGGTCAAATGTACGTGGGTAATAAATGTAATCTCAAACTTGGAAGCCACTAAATTGGGAACTAATTTGTAGTTACATTTCCTTGTGAGTAAGAAAATACTCTTTTTCTTTCTTCTCTAGGGTTTCCTGAATGATTTCTGGCATCTAGAATGTGATAGCCCTGCATTGAACAATTAATTAAACTAGTAGATAGGTTGCAGTCAGCTTAATATTTCATCTCTGAGGCCTCTTGGCGAAAGTATGTATTGGTAGCTTTAGAGTGAAGAAACCTGGCAACCTTACCCAGATGAACAAAGTTAACCTCATCGGTGAGGGGCCACACCTAGAATTTGGCATTACCAAGTTTACCAAGGCTGCAGCGTGAAGAACGGCATTGTTTCAGTGATACTCCTCTGAAAGATGTATGATGCCAGTCTGACCGGGAAGAAACACCACAGACAGATCCCAGTGGAGGCACACTGTATAAAATAACTTTCCTGCAGTCCTCAAAAATACGAAGATCGTAAAGGTGAAGGCAAGGGAGGACTGAGGAATTGTGCTGGGTTCAAGGAAACAAGAAACTAAAATACAGTTTGTGCTCCTGGTTTGGACCCTTCTGCCAGGAAAGATGTTGAGACAGGTGGTGAAACTTGAATGGGATCTCTGAGTGAGGGGTGTATGGAAATTTTTTGTACTATTGTTGCAACTTTTCTGTAAGTTGGAAATACTTTTTTTTTTTAGAATGTATCTTCCTGGGCTCCTGGGTGGCTCCATTGTTAAGCCTCTACCTTCAGCTGAGGTCATGATCCTAGGGTCCTGGGATGGATGGAGCCCTGCCTCAGGCTCCCAACCTCTCCCACTCCCCCTGCTTCTGTTCCCTCTCTCGCTGTGTCTGTCTTTGTCAAATTAATAAAATCTTTAAAATAAAATAAAAATTAAAATGTGTCCCCCCTCCACCATTTTGCAGACTTAAACTTTTAATCGCAAAAGGAAGATGCTTATCTTTGGCAATTCAAACAGTATCCGTAAAGTAAAAAAGTGAAAGTCCTTATCTCCCCTACAAATTCTATTGCCAGAGAACACAATTATTAACTTAATTAGCCCTTCTAGACTTTACAAATATTTGTAAATTTTTGTTTTATTTTACAAAAGCAGGATAGTGTGTAATTTGATCTTACCTCTTTTAATGGGTCTTTTAATAGTATTCCATTGTATGGATTATCATTTATCCATTCTTGTATTGATGGTGCTAGGTAGTTTTCAGTTTTTCATTATTGCCAGTTAGATTGCAATGAACACCCTTGTCTCAGTGTTTGTGTTTACAGATTTGTGCATACTAGTATTTCCATAGAAAAGATTTTTTTTTTTTTTTTAATTTGACAGGGAACACAAACGGGAGTGGGAGAGGGAAAGGGAGAAGCAGGCTTCCCGCTGAGCAGAGAGCCCAATGTGGGGCTTAATCCCAGGACCCTGGGATCATGACCTGAACCAAAGGCAGACACTTAACAACTGAGCCACCCAGGCACCCCATAGTAAAGATTTCTAAAAGAAGAATTGCTACATCATGAGTTTTGCAAGTTTGCCAATATTGATAGATTCTGCCAATTTCCCTCCAAAAACGTTCTTAGCTACATTGCTGCTAATGGTGATGGAGTAAAAATTCTTCACTTATCAATATTGTATGTAATCGATGTTAGATTTTTCCCTCTAAAAGGAAAAACTGAGGACTTTTTTTGGAGTGTAGTGCCACTGGAACATATGTTGGGCTGTTTTTGTTCTTTTTTAACATTGGGTTTCTTATTGAAGAGCTTGTGTTCTAGATCTGCCACTTCCTGGCACTATTACTTTCTCCAGCTATTGACCTCTTGTTTTTGTTTTGTTTTTTAAGATTTGGTTTATTTGAGAGAACGAGCAAGCAAGCAGGGGTAACAATAGAGGGAGAGGGAGAAGCAGGCTCCCCGCCGAGCAGGGAACCCAATGCAGGCCTCCATTCTAGGACCCTGAGATCATGACCTGAGCTGAAGGCAGAGGCTTTAACCCACTGAGCCACCCAGGCGCCCCGACCTCTTGTTTGTTTGGTTTGTTTTTTTAATTAACATATAATGTATTATTTGCCCCAGGGGCTGACCTCTTGTTTTTAACGAGGTTTTTGCTATCTCATTACAGGTTGTAAGGGTCAGATGAAATAATATCTTCAATCATACTTCTGGGAATCAAAATGAAGACAAGCCATTAAGGAGACTCCTGGAAAGATTGTTACAGTGTAAGAATTGTCCAGAGGGGGGCGCCTGGGTGGCTCAGTAGGTGAAGCATCTGCCTTAGGCTTTGGGTCTTGATCTCAAAGTTTTGGGATCAAGCTCTGCATTGGGCCCCTTGCTTGGTGGGGAGCCTGCTTCTCCCTCCCCCTCTGCTTCTGTGATCTCTCTCTCAAATAAATAAAATCTTAAAAAAAAAAAAAAAAAAAAGTTGTCCAGAGTCTCCTTCCACTGCCTGCTCAGACCCAACCGGGAAGAGAAACGGGACCACAGCTCCTGGCCCTTTGTGTCTTTTGCTCAGTGCTCTGGCTGGCTTAAGCATTTGTTGTCCACTTTGTCAGGTCTTTCTGTCACAGGCACGGGGAGGGTCTGTGGAAAAAGAATTTGACTAGTGGCCAGTTTTCATTCATATCTAGAGATAGATTTTACCTTCCAGATATTTCAAGTCTAATCCCTTTGCCTCACAGGTGAGAAAAATAGAGGCCGAGAGGCTGAGTGAAATTAGATTGCCCATGTAATAAATGCCATTAGCAAAGTTAGCGCTCAGGGTTTGGTCTGTCGTGGTGCAATTCAACATATCTTACTGTCACTATTAGTCTTCCCTGGAGAGACAACTGTATCTTAGACATTACTTCCTGAATTCCTTAAAAGACTCAGCAGAGAACTGTGGACATAATAGGTATCCAGAAAATCCATAATGAATTAAAAAATGAACACTTTTTGGTTTATTGTTGCTAAGAAAGAGGGAGTATAGGAAACTCAAGAGGCTGCCAGTTAGGTGGCTTTCTTCTAGGAAGATGCTGGCGCTTAACTGGAGAAAACAGTGGAATCCAGAACACACCGTTTCCCAAAGGTCCATGTCCAACAGCTTTAAAAATGAGTGAGGCGATGGGGAGTGCAGCTTTTTGTTTTATTTCAACTGGTTGCTAGTGTACAAAAGTATAAGGTAAATTTCTTTAAAGACTATAAACCAGCCACCAACCCAAACCCATAGCTGGTAATTCAATTGCTCAGGAAAAGGGGGAGCCCCGGCCTCATCTACATAACACGACTTCTTGTTCCTGGTGCAATGTGCCGTCCTCAGGCCCCGTCTCCACACTAACGCGGCTCTTGTCTCCAGTGGCTTGTTGGCTGCCCACGCCTTGGCTGGGCTGGGACTTTCTCAATCCCAAAGGCAGAGAATCAAAATTACAGACTCCCTCTGGGTATTTTGACCTGGCCCTTTAAGGGACATCTTTAAGAAACCTAAACTCAGACTCAGACTCATGCTTCTTACAAACATAAATCTGGGAAGAAAGCCTGGCCCAAAGAGAGGAAGGTCAGACCCCCCTTTGCCCCTCCGTGACCCCAGGAATGCCCTGGCAAGCTGAAATGGAGCAAAGAAGGGGACTTGAATGTGCATGACCTGATGTCAAGTCCTGACTAAAATCGTTCCCAGCCTTGTGTTTTTTACGAGGGCCGTTTACCCTCCCGAAGCCCCAGCTCCCTCCCTCTCAGGCATCTCCAGCCTTCCCAGGGCAGACAGGCCCCTCTGCCAGCATGGTACAGGAGCTCAGAGACCGAAAAGGCCACAGTACTGCACGGGAGGGAGGTGGTTTGAGGACGCAGAGGAGGAGGACAAAAAGAGGAAAGGGTAGGATCAAAGAAAGGGTAAAAAGCAGAAGGCAGCAACAGGGTGGAGAGACAGAGCCAACCCAGTACAGGGGGCGTGGGTACCTCTTCTGGGCTAGGGCTGGGGCTCAGGAGATGACATTAATGGGTGGGTCCTCTTTAACCACACAGAGGAGAGAGCTGCTCCTCAGCCCCGACCTGGAGCCAGTCACCGGAAAAGGAAATCAATACTCAGACTCAGTACTATGAAGCTACCCTTTACATGGTTTTAATTCGCAGGATCACTTTGAAAGCCTCTAAGTCTTCATCTCCTCTCTGGGCAGGAGACAGGCTGCTGAAGGGGCTCCCGGCCTGGCCCTGGAAGAGGTCATGTCTTTATGCTTAAGCCACAGAAAACTTGAACCAAGTGGTGTGGTCATACTCCTCCCCGGGCCTCAGCAGCACAGGAGGGAAGTGGGGCTGTGAAGGGAACAACAAGGCAAGTTAGCTTTCCAGCTGGCTGCACCCTTCACTGTTCAGGACGGCTCTGGACTGGTCTCTCGAACCAGCTGCCCACCTAACAACTGTTTACCATGGGTTTGCAGCGAGATAGAGAACTGGAGGCGCATCACTGAGCTTGCCATTAGAGCAGGACTCTCCCGATGAAGGAGGCTGTGTGTCAGTTTAAGTTCTGGAGCGAGCTGCAGGGCTGCTGCTTTGAGGGGCACTACTCCAGGGAGTAGCCAGAAAAAGAAGTCACCAGTAAGCAAATAGGAAGAAGATGGGATCATTTTAAAACTGTGGTTGCACAGAGTCTTGGGTGGCTCAGTCAGGATCTGACTCTCGATTTAAGCTCAGGTCATGGTCCCAGGCTGTGACATCGAGCCCTGTGTCAGGCTCCGTGCTGGGTGTGGAGCCTGCTTAGGATTCTCTTTCTCCTCCCCCCCCCCTCACCGCCCAAAAAACTGTGGTTGCAGAAGATGAGCAGGTGTGGACAAGGAGCAACATTAAACGGAATAAAGATTTTGAAGGCACAAAACAGATTAAATACATAAAAATGCTATGTTAGGGGCGCCTGGGTGGCTCAGTGGGTTAGACCACTGCCTTCGGCTCAGGTCATGATCTCAGGGTCCTGGGATCGAGTCCTGTGTCGGGCTCTCTGCTCGGCGGGGAGCCTGCTTCCCTTCCTCTCTCTCTGCCTGCCTCTCTGCCTACTTGTGATCTCTCTCTGTCAAATAAATAAATAAAATCTTTAAAAAAAAAAATGCTATGTTAGTAACTTGGCTAAAGTTCTCCTTATCATGACTGGGAGAAGAGAAGCTCTGTGGACCTTTGAATCACACAGACCTGAGTGCCGTGACCTCTGTCATACAGTGTGACCTTGGGGCACAACACCCCTGAGAAGCCGAGCTGGAGCTTTACCTGGTTGACAGCATCAGGCCAGTTCTGGGTCTCCAGGCAGAAACCAGAGTGCTTGGGATAGACGGCTCCCCTCTTGCCCTGCAGCGTGCCGTCCAGGAAGTTACCCGTGTAGAACTGGACCCCAGGCTGGGTGGTGTACACCTCCAGCACCCGCCCGCTGCCGGCATGACGGACCCTGGGGGTAAGGCAGACCACACAGGATGCAGAAGCTCACAGGGACAGAGAGAAGCGGGGAAGCACCCTCGGAGACAGCAGTCAGACCCGGCCACAGAGCAGGGACATGGAGACAAAGGTGAGAAGAGCATGATGGGAAATTCCCACAGTCTCTGGGGTGAGGTGTGAGCAGGTGGTTCTGAGGATCCTTTCATGGCGACTTCTCACTGTGATCTTGGCTTCTCTGAGGAAGGCTCACCCTGGCCAGATAGGGGTGCGTGTGTGTGTGTGTGTGTGTGTGTGTGTGTGTGTGTGTGTGTGTGTGTTGGGGGCAGCCAGGTTGAATAGAAGCAGTTTTTAGGTTCGGGAGGGCCTGAGATTCTTTCTCATAAAGAGTTGGCGCTCTCTGCTTGGCCTGGCAAAGCGACCAGCCTTGTCTTGAAAGAGAAGTGATGCTTTTCTAAATTAAAACATCCCCCTTTCCTGGGGCTCGAGCAGGCTGCGCTTTTTAGTCAAATCTCCCCTGAGAACAGATGTACTGTCCGTTTTTGCTAGATTCACTGTTTCCTTTTTAAAAAACAAACAAACAACAACAATAAAAACCAAACAAAGAACAACAACAAAAACCAGGCCTCTACAGAGCTGAGAGCACCTACCCAGTCCCCGTACTTGGTATTGAAGGGATATGGACAAAGAAAAGCCTCAGTCTTACCCTCTTACGGAGAGGTAAAACCTCCCAGCAAAGTATGGTCAATGAAGACGTTCAGGGAAAGATGTCTGGGAAGAGGAGGGCCAAGATTTGAACAGTGGAGCGAAGGCAGGAGAGTCTCCTCGAGGTGGGGGCAGTAGAGAGAGAAGTGTGAGCACTAGTCAAGAGGAGAGGAGCAGACTCCAGCCGGAAGAACGCAGGGACCAGGACTCTAACAGAGAGAAGGCTTTTGAAGTTTCCATTGAGTTTAAATCGTTTCCTCTGCTTTATTTCAAATCCATTTGTTCTACAGACATGATTTGCTGATGCCAAGCATGGTGTCAGGCACTAGGGCAGAGGTGGGGGCTCACAGAGACGAGATGGTGTGAGCAGCTCAGAATTTAGTGAGGAGGAGGGAGAGTGCACACAGATGCCCACACTAGGCCGCTGCTGGTGAGTGCCCCAGGAGAAGTGCAGTCTCTGACTTTCCAAGGAAGTAGACCGGGCACGAATCCCATGTGAACAAAGTACAAAGCACTCCAGAAGTTCAAGGAAAGCAGAGGTGACCTCAGTCAGGAGGAATTAGGCTTTGTCCCAAAAATGTGCCTTAAAGAACAGGCACAACTGGGGAGAGAGGGAGCAAAGAGAGACAGGCTGCCAGGTGGGAGCCCTGGGCTAATGACCTAGTGGGGGAGGGGGAGGACCAGGAGCTTTGAAAAGACAGGGGACGTGGTATTTGGTCCCTGCAGCATAGAAAATGCTACTGATGCTCCTCATATAGGAGGTGGGATCTCTTCTTCCCCACAGAGGCAGTAAGTGACAAGGACCTACCGTGCACAAAAGTGCTTTTCTTTAGAGCCATTCAGACAGAAATTGTGGTCAAAGCCATTGATACGGAACTCCTGCAGGTGTTTTCCAAGCTCCACTGGCTTCCTCAGGTCAAAGGCAGTTCCTTGCACTGGAGCAACTTCTCCTGGTGGGAAGAGGCAGGGAAAAAGGCAGCAGGCGGGAGTACTCTGGCCAGGCTTTCTCGAAAGTGGAGAGGGACTCTATTTCCAGAGCCTGACACCATGATCCGGTTTAGTTTCTGTCTTTATTTTAAAACAACTTTTAAAAAAATTTAAGCATAGTTAACACACAATATTGCATTCGTTTCAGGTGTGCACATAGTGACTCGGCTTCTCTCTACATTATGCTGTGCTCGCCATGAGTGTGGCCACCGACTGTCACCGCCCAACGCTATTACAATACCACGGACTATGTTTCTTATGCTCTACCTTTTATTCTTGTGACTTATTCATTCTATAACTGGAAGCCCAGTTTGGTTTCTTTAAAAGTCGTCCTTTGTTCTAGAATAGTATCACATATTTAAAGGTGAATACAAATGCTAGTTAGTTAACGTACTCTTTTAGGGTGAGAAACTACCTTCCTTTCATGTGGTCAGTTGGAGATACTGTAGGAACTCAGCTTCTATGCTATTTTTAGAGAAGAGAGAGGTAGCACGCAAAGTGGGTCTGAAATCTTAGGAGGCTAAGAACAATCAGGAACTTGTACCCTACCACTAAAAGATTTAAACAAGTAAAAGGAGAACCAGCTTTAGCTGTTCAAACATTTGGCTCTGCTTTTGTGTGTTCCTAAATACTAACATGAAACACGAATCTCCTATCTTTGGGCAAAAGACAGCAACCTTTTCTTAAACTTGGAGCTGCTGTTCAGAAACATGGTCTTCCTGGTATGTGAGGCCTGCAGTCTGTGAGCTCACAGAGAGCTTCGAGGATGCCTGGGATCCCAACGACTCAAGGGAGACCCAGAGGCCCGGCCCACACCATCCTAGCATCTGATGTCCATTATTCGACCAAGAGAGTTTGGGAAGCACACAGGAGAATCCTTCTCCTAACCAGAGTCAGCTTTAGGTGAAACTAAGTAGCATTCTTTTTGAAAACACCCCCTTAAAACTAAACTTAAACTTAAAATCTATTTCCTTCGCCTTGGTTCTGCTTGTATGAAAAAGAATTTTTGAATGGGCAGTATTTGCACATGTAATCGATTTATTTATTTATTTTAAAAAGATTTTATTTGAGAGGGAGAGAGAGAGTAAGAGAAAGAGAGAGCATGAGAAGGGCGAGGGTCAGATGGGGAAGTAGACTCCCCACTGAGTGGGGAGCCCAATGCAGGACTTGATCCTTGGACTCTGGAATCATGACCTGAGCCAAAGGCTCAAGGACTGAGCCACCTAGGCACCCACAAGTAATCGATTTAAAAGGTAACAAATGTAAAAGATACAAAATACTACATAATCAAAACAATCTCTCTCCTCTTTGTTCCCCACAGATCCAGTTTCCTTCCACAGAAGTAACTGCTGTTGCTTGCTCCTGGCGCATGGTTCCAGAGAACTTACAAGGATATCCAAGTATGTGGGCGCGGACCCATGCACACACACACAAAGATACAGCCTGTTTCCACCTTGATCTTTTCATTCTGTTTGTCTTGGAGGTTGTTGTTAAATTTATTCCTATGTATTTCATTGGACAATTCTATATGCTCTCATATTTCTATTTTTTCTGTGATAATCTGTCAATTTAAAATTTTTCTTATAATTGCAAATTTATATTTTTCTTGAAACATATGCATTCCATCTATATTACTCTCATTTATTTGTAGAGTCGAGGAAGACAGTAACTTATGATCCTTTCAATTTCATCTGTCTGTGGTTATTAGCCTGTGCTCATTTCTAACTTTGTACATTGAATAGGTTAGCTAATGCTTTATCTATTTTATTCTTTCCCCTTCCAATGAAGCAGCTCTTGGATTTATGTATTAGTACTACATTTTTCTTCCTCTTTTCAAAATCATAATTTCTGATTTTATTTGTATTAATTTTTCTTTTGTTCTCTTGGGTTTATTTTGTTATTTTTCAAATATCTTGCATTAGATGCCTAATTAATTTATTTTCACTTTTTGTATTCATATAAGTATTTAGTGCCACAATGTTTTTCTGAGCAACAGACTTTATACCACACATAGGAATTTCCATTATATATAATTATAACATCATATCTCCATTTATTATATATTCCAATATGTGTCATGTATATTACTTCCATTATACATAATAATGATATATTATTTACTTATTTTCTGGGTAGTACTAGCTTAGGGGCTTGAACTCTCTTTTTACTCAAGAATTATTAAGAATTAAAACATTTCTAGGTCATTTTTGCCTGTATTACTCTTATTTTGTGAAACTACCTGAGATTTTCTTTATGGTGTCAGATATGGTGAACTCCCATCGTAAAGTGCATCCTTTATCATTACAAGGTGCCCTCCTTTATGTAATTTAATGCTTTCTGTCCTGAAATCAGCATTTATTGATACCAAGATTAAGACTCCTGCCACTTTCGCTTTCATTTGCTTGGTTTGCTTTGAAATCTCCTATTTTTAATGTTTCTGTACGACTTGGTTACACACAGCATTCTGATGGGTTTTGCTTTGTGATTCAGTCTGAGAGACTTTAATAGAGACATTTTATGGCATTACTATGACATATATATGTTCTAATTATTCTTAGTTCTGTCACTACATTTTTTGTTGTGCTTTCCGTGTTTATGAATTTTTGTTGTTGCTTTTTATTTTCTTTAAGAGTTTATTTGTTTATTTGACAGACAGAGATCACAAGTAGGCAGAGAGGCAGGCAGAGAGAGAGAGAGGGAAGCAAGCTCCCCGCTGAGCAGAGAGCCCGATGCGGGGCTCAATCCCAGGACCCTGAAATCATGACCTGAGCCAAAGGCAGAGGCTTTAACCCACTGAGCCACCCAGGTGCCCCTGTTGCTTGCTTTTTAAAAATCTTCTACTATATGGTGTGTGTGTCTGTGTGTGTGTCTTGTAAATTCGTAAGTTTGTAATTTTGTTTTAGTGGTTATATCTATATGTAAGTAATTCCAAAATAATATACTTAATCCTCTGTTTCTTAGAATCCACTAAGCTTTTCTTTTATCACTCTTTCTCTTAGCTACCTGACTTGGGTTTCTGATGTTTCAACGGTTAAGAATCCTAATAAAGTCACTTTTGTTTCCCAGTAGATGGTGCTAGAGACACAATATAAAGAGCTTGCTTATAAACCTCTGAATAAAATTTAAACTGATCAGTTGTGGGAGAATGAATAGGTGAACTTTTTGGTTCGGAAAGTTCAGGCCAAAGGCCAAATCCTGGATGGTAATGACTCACTCACCTGGGTGCTACTGTCTTGTGCTACGTCTGGGTGACCAACCAACTCCCACACTGATTTTTAAAAAGGTTAAATTTTCCTTATGAAACAATTAGTCTGCAAAAAAGCAGCAGCTGTTAGTCTTACCAACCCATATTCTGAGTATTAACTTGTGTTATGCTTTCTTCCTTAACCTTCTGTGGTATTCACAATACTTAGTTCTTTAAATTTGTGCTTGACTCAGAATCTAACCCTTATGACAGTCTCAGTGTAACACTGCACAAGTCGGTCAAGATTACTATTTCTCTTGACTTTAAGGCAACAAGAAAGCCTAGCAGTTTTCCTGAAGGAGGGAGTGAGGGTGTATTTCAGGTCTGTTTACCTGATACTGAGCCATCCACAAATCAGTGCTTATGTTAACTTTTCTCTTTGTAAAATGAAGCTATTATCTGCTGCGTTATACATTACAGGAAATATTTGATAAATGATAAATGGTTTCAGAGGGATGGCATAAATAAACAGGCCAAATTTCAGGACACCCTATGTAACACAAAGGAGAGCCTAGAGGGGGTAAGACTTCAGAATGGCAGAGAAGCCCTGACTTAAAAATGAGAACCTTGGGATAATTCCAAAATGAGATTTTTGTTAAATGAGAAAAAAAAAAAAGAGAGAGGATTCCAATTTCCCTTTTGTCAGCCTCATGCCCTGACACATGTACCTAATCATTGGGCATATGGAAAACTTGGAATTTGTCCCCCGGAGTCGCTATGCCTTTGGGTCCTTTCTCGTAACTGGAATGTCCTTTCCATGCCTACCTCCAACCACACCCTGGCAAAGTTGCTTAAGAATACTTACTCTCCCACGCCATTTCCTCCATGAAAGATTGCAGCCTCCACAGCTAGAACTAATGTCCTTTATTACTTGGGTCCTATCATACTTTGAACATACTTTCTTCAAAACATTGATCATGTTGGGCATAATCGTAGGATTTTACCAAGTTCCTAGAGGGCAGGGATTGTGTCCTTTTTATCTTTATACCTTCTGAGCATGAAGCGAGCCTTTACTTGATTGAAAAATTGATGAATGAATGAAGTAGAGGCAGAAAAAACAGGGACAACTGTGAATGTTGTATCATCCCATGGCCAAGTCAGAATGAAAGATCTACAGGAAGGGCCTTAGGAATTACCTCATTCAGTCCCCTTGCTTTGCAAATGATTAAGACTGGGACCCAGACAGCGAAAGGGACTTTGCCCAATGTGACACATCTCCATAGTGTCAAGGTCTCCAGGCTCCTCACCCCGAGGTGACTTGGTTACCCCCTCCCACCCAACCCCCTAAGTGTTCTTGATTCTTCAAAGAATTTGGAAAAATCAATGTGCTATTCTTCTAATTTTGGTCTATCTGCATATGTGACTTTGTGCTTTGGTGCTAAGAATAGAAGATTTCAAAATAGCTCTCTCAGCAATGCTGAGTGTACAGAAAATGAGGCGGAAATGGAAAGGGTGCCCTCAGAGGGGATGTCACCTCACCAGCCTTCAGTTTTGAAGTTACCAGAAAGCTGGGGTGTCAGCAGAGAGAAGCTGTTTTCTGAAGGGGGTTTCTTAATGCTCCTGCAGGCTGGCTGGGTGTGCGCGGAGGTCTGAGCAGCAATGCCGTGGTACCTGGCAGACGGTGGGCTCTGACCCAAAGAGCTGGGGTCACAGCTCTGGGGGCAGGCGAGCAGCCCAAGGTGGCATTTCCACTTCCCCATTCCAAGGAAAGCCTGACTA